AGAGAGAGAGAGAGAGAGAGAGAGAGAGAGAGAGAGAGAGCAAGTATAACGTACGGCTTCGACGATAACGGAGAGCGACGTGGAGGCGCCGCGTCTGTGCGAGAACCGCGAGTCCGACAAGACATACGAGAACGATACATCGTTTTCAAGAATCTCTCCTCGAGCGATTTTCAGTTCTATCGATCATTTCACCGACGACGAATAAGAACATAGGAAACGTAGATAGATGACGGAGTAGCGGCGCGGAGAAGTAACGATGGCAGAAGAAAATGCGAGAGGAGGGAGGTAGGAGGGGGAGAAGAGGGGAAGAGAGGGGAGCGGGAACGGACCGGATAGACTTTCACAATTATCACGATATGAGACAAAATCAATGATGGAAGCTTTACGAACTTTTTTGGCCCTGCTCTGGCATACCGTTGGGTCATTTTCGACCCCAACGCTGATTTTTAATTCCGAATTACCCGCAAACTAGTGACACAAGGGCTTTCGGTTCGCGCGTTGAAAAAAGTTATAATTAGTAGAAATATGAGGTTTAAATAGGGCTGAGCCCTTTCAGCCGCCTGACAAATAACAAAGGGCCAAACTTGCTACGGAGTCGTTTTTGATCGCGTTGGATTAAAGTATTAAGGTGTAAAATAAAGATGACTTTACATTACATTTCGGTTCTTTATACTAAACGTAACATATACGAAAAGTTTTATATGGGTGGCTTATTTATTTCTGACTACATTATACGTGATATATTATCACGATTTCCATATCGTCAAATTCTAATTATGGAAAAAAAGAGATTCGGCTAATATTTGTAATAATTTTAAAAATAAAATCAGCATTATATATAATATATTAATACAGCAAAAACTTCAAATTCTTAATAATTCTACTTGCTTCCTGCTTGAAAAAAAAATTATATATCGTATGCTCAAATAATTATATATTCTAATTATAAATTGTGTTCAAAATTTAATAAGAAAATAATGTGTTGTGTTCAAAATTTAATAAGAAAATAATGTGTTGTGTTCAAAATTTAATAAGAAAATAATTTTCTCTTGGTCATTGTTTACAGTAATTATTTCTTCACGTGATTATATAGTTACAAGTACCAAACATTTTTCTGCCGGTACAAATCGACCAGCAAAGTTGCTGCCAAGGTTATGCGGACTCATCTATCTGGGCGAGCATCGTGTCGTTCGTCTGCTATTAAAAGATCGCAGATAATACGATGTGAGAGCCGCGGCGCTAATTAATTGCGCGACCAGGCCGATTGCTACGCTTTATATGTTCGATTTTGTTGAATAATAATAAGGGTCGCGCGCGCGCCTTAACGAATGCATACCCTTGAACGCTTGTGCACTCTCCATAATTGAGCGTTGAATCTATTTGGTGGCGACTTGCGCGAATGTCGAAAGTATGCGGCATTAGTTACAGGCGCCCGACGGACGAGCGCAAACACTCCTTCCGCGCTCGACAAAATGTTCGATAAAGCGCGCGCATAAATCGCGGCGAGTAACAAAGCGCGAATACAGCAAACAAGCGCGCGCGCGCGCGCACGCAACATATTTATTGCATATACGGCGTGAATTATAAATTGCCGTTAAGTCGGCCGGCGCCGATGTTTAGGCTGACAAGTTAATCAGCTTTTTTTTAATCCTCTTACAACCGTCGCCGAATGGGAGCCGCGGAACGAGAAGAATTCCGTTAAAAAGCGCGCGGCGATCGATTCGCGGGCGAGTACGGGTAATGGAAGGAGCGTTGCTTGACGGCACCGACTGCGAGCGAATTCCTCAATTATTTAGCCGCAAATAAAGATCACCACCGTCGTCCCTCCTCTCGCCCGACGCGATCGAGCCCCTTTAATACTCGTAAAATGCTCCGCGCGATAATTGTTAAGACGCAGTATATTTTCGCTGCAACGACAAAACTACATTGCCGTCGTAAAAAAAAGAAAAAAGAGAGAGAGAGAGAGAGAAAAGCTTCCCTCCTCATAATGGCATATATCCACGTGTGCTCTTGGCGTATACACGTATGCACATGCATGTATTGTCGTGTGTTTGTGTGTGTCTGTGTATAATGCGCTCTTCCACGCCAATACTAAATTGCCGCGCCGGCAATACTTTTATCGCCCCTTTTACGACGCCGACTCTTTACCCTCTGACTTCGTTTTTGAATCCGATGGGACTATAAAGATAAATTAAATAAGACGTCGAAGTAAATGGGCGAGAAACCGCATATAACGGCTTAGAGGATCGTTAAATAACTCTGAGGCACACGAGAGAGGGAAGGGCAGAAGGGGGAAACAAGCCGAAAACTCGAGTAAAGGAGAACGATATTTGTCGCATCCGACTTTGGCTGCGACGTGATCCAATTTTTAGGGACAAAAACTTGTCCCGAAAAACACGTTCATACGCGGAGAGAACATATTGTTACGACTGCTACGACCACATTCTCTATGGTTAAGAAAAAAAATTTATATGAACTCAGGTTAAATACACGAAGTAAATTTTATAATAGAAATTGACATGAAATTCCGTAATAGATCGATATTTCACAGTAATTTTTTATTTTTTTCATTTTATGTGTCATTTATATGTTAGGAACTGAAATGTTCACAAAGAAAACTAGTATGGCTGCTACATTCTCTATGAAGAAAAAAACTTGTATGAATTCAAGCTAAATACATAAAGTGAATTTTATAGTAAAAATTGATATGGGATCTTGTAACAGAAGGAACAGATTGACATTTCGCAGTAATTTATTATTCTTTCGTTTCATATAAGCCGTTTTGATTTTGGAAGCCGAAATGTGCGCGCAGAAAATGGTTGCTATAACCTTATTCTCTATGGCAAAAAAAAATCTAAGTGAATTCAAATTAAATGGATGGAAAGAATTTTATAGTGAAAATTACTGTAGAATTTTGTAGCGCACGAAGTAAATCGATATTACGCAGTAATTTATTATTCTTTCATTTCAAGCTGTTTTTATTTTAAAAACAAAATATGCGCGAAGGAAACTGCTATGATTGCTACAACTATATTCTTCATGAAAAAAAATTCAAATTAAATATATGAAAAGAGTTTTAAAGTAAATGTTACTGCAGAATTTTGTAGCGTGGAATAGATCGACATTTCGCAGCCATTTATTATCCTCTTATTTTTTCACATGTGCTATTTATATTTTATTATATTTTGAAAACAAATGTACGGAGAGAAAATTGTTATGGTTGCTGCAACAGCATTCGCTATGATCGGAAGAAAAATTTAAATAAATCCAAATTAAATACATGAGGAGAATTTTATAACAAAAATCACTATAGGATCTGTAGCACAAAACAGACTGATATATATTCTAGAGAAATTTATTATTCTTTCATTTCATGCAAGCTGTACATTTCAGAAACTGAAATGTGTGCGAAGGAAACTATTATGTTCGCCGCAATCACATGGTGACTCACTTTATTATTAAAAAGAAAACTGAAATTCAAGTCAAATAGAAAATTGCATGAAAAATTGCTATTGTCACATGTGTACGTCTGTACAGCTCTCACAGCCGCGATTCTTATGATATTCAATTAATACGTCCTCAATTATAATTGCCTCAACCGAAAGAATATCGCTGTCTCTTTATGCTGTGATCTGCAGAACGAATATTATGGTTGAGAGATCTCTCTCCTTTGGTTGCGTCATACAGCACTGAGAGATGTCCCGTATATGCACGGCTGCGAAGAAAGCCAACATACTATGGTTTCTGTAACCTTTTGTGTGAATGGACGAGGAACAATAACATTAATATTTCGTCGCGACAACCATATTTAGTCCAATGATATCTTTGGTGTTTCCCTCCGCATACACTAAGTACAAGGATCTGGTTGACGAGATCAAAATTTTATTAAAATGAGATCAACCAAATGTTTGGTAATTGCAAAAAACATTTAATTACATTTAATTAATTAAATTATAATAAAAACATTTGTTTTGTTTTACTTTCTCAGTAATTAGTCATTAAGCAAAGCGAAATAGCGGCAATGAAATTTTTTGGTTGTAATCACCCAACGTTTGGTTAACGCCATTTATACCAAATTTTGGTCTTGTCGACCAGATCCTCTCTTCAGTGTACGTTGCGTAAAATAAATTTTTCAGAATCGAGTTTCTGCGCTTTCTATTCTCGGCGGGAATATCGGAGCAGCGATAATTCTCGAGATCTCCCGCCGCGTCGGAAATAATTAACGTCTCGTGCACTGAGAGAAAAAAATAGTTGGAATAACTATAATTTCACTATATTTTATAGTTCATTTTGGTCTCAAACATATATTTATAGTTCATCTAAACATGAAGATATAGCAGAATAAACAAAGATTTATAATCACCATTTTATTACTCTATGTGTATAGTAAAGCACACTTTAGGAATATAGTTACATGTATCTACATTTGCCAAATATTCCAACTGTATTGACTATATAAAATAGTTAATTTCTCTTACTATTCAATATTTGCTACGTTACTATATTTTTTATTTCAAATAATTATAATTCTTGATAAAATTTTTACATGGGTCAGTTATGGTGACATTTACTATAAAAATGACATTCCTAACTATAATCTTTTTACTATGCCGTTATAGTTCCAAATATCATAAATTTTTTTCTCAGTGTGATGCCTTCTGATCGTCAAATGTCTGTGTGTGTTACAGGAGCGCGAGTCGAAAAATCGAGCGAAGAACAGCGCCATTCATAATTTGCCTGTCGTTGCTGATGGCGACGGGAGCGAAGACAGTGGCGGCTACGAACATGACAAACGCATCGTTCACAGCGTCGACGGCGAAGCCGTTTACAACGACGGAAGTAGTTTATCAGCGATTCGCCATCGAGCCGATGGATCAGACCGCGGTGATTGGCAGCCGGGTGACGCTTCCATGCCGAGTGCTCGATCAGAAGGGGCCCATTCAATGGACTAAAGACGACTTCGGCTTGGGAGCAGTTAGGAATCTCACCGGATACGAGCGATACGCCATGATCGGCAGCGACGAGGAAGGTGAGCGTGCGAGAGAGGACGGATAAGATTATCCCGGAAATTTGATTTCCACGCTTAAATTAACCCGACCGCACAATACGCCCGTCGACACCGACATTATGCAAAATATCACGAGCAGGGGGCGAGGGGCGGGGGAGAAGGGGGCGTGATTTGCGGGCATCGTGCATGTAACTTCCTTCCTTCGCCTAAACATCGCGCGCGGAGAATCCCGCTAACCGCCGCTATCGGGAAAATTGGGAAGACCCTCGCTCGCACGGGATTCACGGTAATTTTCTCGCTCGAGTCAAAAATACGCGGGAATGATTAAATCTCCCGCGAGTCTCTCGGGACTTGAATAAGAGAAACGTCACCGACGCCGTCGGCGGTTGCAGCGCTGCACGGACGAATGATTTACATGTCACTGTCGCACTTTTGCGCTGATCTTCCACAGTTAACGCTCTCTTGTCTTCGCGGACGACGATCGCAGGTAACCGCGCTCGAATGCGCCAATCGACCACTTTTAGACACGCGTGCACTATACTCTATGCAGCCACGTACACAATGATACGCCGTTGGTCCTGTTTACTCGTGCAAATTCAATTTGCCCGCCGCAAGGTATTGATTTTCTGGTGTGTCGAAAAAAAAAAATGCGCACCTCTCTGGCCGGTTATACTCGCGCGGTCTTGCGCGCCGCGACAAAATATTTCGCGTCGCTTGCGTCCCAAATTAATAGTTGTTGCTTGAAACTCGTCTCGAGCGAGACACTTAGGTCGGCATCGATAGTCGTTACTTGAAACTCGTCTCAGAGAAGATATGCTGATATGGATTTAGAGTTAGCTGTGAACTCTTTAGTGGAATCGGATGCGTAATGTCGCGTATATTGCGTGATTCAGATAAAAAAAGAACTCGGATATAACTCTGAATTCGTGTCTGAGTGTCTCACAGTGGGACAAGCTTCGAGTAATGATTATTAACACGGGCCTCGGACTTGAATTCAGAGTTAAATGAGAGTTTTTCAGCTAAAGCGCGATCTCGAGATATTTCGCTTTCAGATGTAGATGTCACACGTATGTAATTTCACTGAGCAACTTGGACAGAACTCTGAATAAAAATTTGAATATCTCGTACACTGAGAGAAAAAATATCTGAAAAACCAAAGATACTTATTTTTCATGAGTATTATATAATAACATATTTATTTAATAAGATTTAACAAGATAACATTTATTTAATAAGATTCTTTTTCTCGAATAGAATTTCTTTCATAGAAAGTTAAATATTTCACAAAAGAAATTGCACTTGCTGAAATTGCACCAAGTTGCACGAAGTTCCTCATAAGCTATGTAGGACTAAACTCAAATTATCGCAAAGTGTCAAGGGACTGAAATCAGAGGGAGGGTGTCCAGGTTTTATGGTAGCATATATTTTCCGCAGATTCCTAGAGAGTAACTGTGTCAAATTTTCTCCAAATAGGTCAAAGGGTTTAGAAGTTAATAGAGAAATATACGAGCAGGCATTCTATTTCATGTACAAGAACATTTAAATTGAAGCACTTGAATATATAAAAAATAATGCAAAATTAAAAGAAATGTTTTAGACGGATGATAGTGCTATTAGTTTGACTCTTTGTCAAAGTAAAATGAAGATCAACTTTATTTTCCTTAACGGAACTCTAATTTTTTTAAACTGTTTGCAGCTCTCCTCAAAACGAGTTTAATGACCACTCAAAGTCAAAGGACGGAAGCAGTGTTTAAACCATTCGTGTCGTCGATAATGCGAAGTGAGAAAGCGCGACGACAAGAACAGGATGAGACGTTTCACTCGAACGAAACGCAGATTTCTTACATGCGCCATACACAAAATACATTGGTCACTTTATGATCCTCTCATCCCATTGATTTCTACTTCGAGAATCTCAACAATAATTGTGTACAACGCGCATCTTTTGTATGTGTGTATGTACGTATGTGTGTGCGTCTATATTGGTTTGTATAGTAAGAAAAATGATTTTCAATTTAATTGAATTTACTTTATTAAATACACGAAATAATGACCATCAACTTTGATACACTTTTCGATATGTTTATTAAAAGATTACTGAACGTTTAACAAAGTGTTCCTGTCAATATCGTGACAAGCATTTCTAACGCTCTTTCAGAGCATTTAACGAATCAGCGTATCATTCTGTGTGCGAGTGAACCGCGTCACTCTACTCTTGTCGTCGCGCTTTCTCATCTCGAACATTATTGACGACGACGATAATGATTTAAATTCTGCTTTCGTCATTCCACCTCCAACGACCTTGAATGTGTGCTCCTGGAAGACGTCGTGAGGAAAGTCTCGAGCGTATGTGTTAAAGAAATTAGGGTTCCATTTGAAAGAACGAAATTAACTTCACTTCACCTTGACACCCCCATTCAAATCCAATAGCATCATCATACGTCCCTTTTGAAACCTCTACAATTTTCATCAGGAATATTGATTTTTATTTTACATTATTTTTTTAACTCTTTGCATTCGAGAAGCGACTCTCAGTCGCCACTTAGTTTTATAGTTTTCCCCCAGACATAGCGAGACTCGCCTTAATTTCGACTAATTGACCTCTTCTGTAATGCATCTGAAAAAATTAGTTCCGTATTTGGAACTAGAAAATATTTGGTATATTAGATTCTTTTTTTTTTTAGTTGACCTTGACACGTGTTTCACTTATGTCAAGTGAGAAAGCTTAAGCGACAATGAAATTTTTTGGTTGCTATTACCAAACATTCGGTTGACCTCGCTTTAACCAAAAATTCGGTCAGGTGGTTTACTAACTACTAACCACTAAATTTTCGTGTCGACAACAAAGTTTCTTTTTCAGTGCGCGCGGACTATTTTAGCTGAGCTCAATACATTGAGGAAAAAATGGGGAAATCCGGGCCTCGAAATGAGTCCGCGGATCACGACAATAGTCTTACGCATAATAACGAAAAATCGCACACGAAACAAATGAACGAACGAAGTGCGTGCACTTCGCAAGACCAATGCTGACAAGCATTGCGAAGCGCATACGCAATGCGGGGTAGTAAAAATCACAGCGCGACAGGCAGCCCTAAAGTACGATACGTAATTTCTCCTGTTCGCGAAAAAAGTACTGCCGACGATCGTAAAATCAGCTCTGCACCTGGCATTTTCGGTCCAAGCCCCGAACGAGCTGTCAGCCTTTATCATTCGTTGCCGAAACACTTCTAGCTTTGACCGTTATCAGAGTGTGATGCAAAAATTTATAACGTCACGTTCTCATGCATTGTGAAAGGAAGAAATAGTCAAATATATCTTGCCAACATTTATTTTTCGCTCTAAATATATTTTTTGGTTTTTCTAACACGAAACTAGTAATGCATGTAAGGTTATTAACATTACAGTGGAATTTAATAAGAAAAATATATTTTTTTACCATAATTTATAATAATTATTTCTCTATGTGTGATTGAGAGAATATTGTAGTAAAAATTACAATACAATTTTAATACTTCGAGAATAAAGTGGCACTGATGAAAATTATAATAAGATAGAATAAAAGTTACTATGAACATAGTAAAAATTATCATGTTAATGGTCATTTTACTATATTTTATTATAATTTTCATAATAGTGCCAGTTTATTCCCGAACCACTAAAATTGTATTGTAAAATTTGACTACAATATTCTCTCCGTGTAGTTACAAATACCAAACATTTTTTCGTCAATGTAGTGAGCTCAGCTAAAATGGCTTGGGCGCGCTAAAAAAAGAACTTTGTTGTTGAAAATTTAATACACCTGACCGAAATTTGATTAGAGCGAATTTGGGATCAACCGAATGTTCGGTAATAGCAACCAAAAAATTTCATTGCCGCTTACGATTTCTCACTTGACAAGTGAAACACATGTCAACTGAAAAAAAAGAATCTAATATACCAAATATTTTCTAGTTCTAAATACGGAACTAATTTCTTCGCAGATTCATTACAGAAGAAGCCAATTGGTCGGAAAAGGTCGAAATTAAGGTGAGCCTCGCTATGTTCGGGGGGGAACTTGCCAGTGTCCCGCTATCAAGACGAGAACGGAGAAGAAAAAAAGCGTATTCATTTCGTACTTCGGACTGAACTTTCGCGACGAGGTCTGCTCTCTTCAGACACGCCATGATTTCCGCGGGAAGCGGATCGCTTTTATCTCGCGCGCTTTAAAACAAAGATGGAACTCGCGCGCTATTCTTGCGTCGACTGTGTTGCATAAAGCCGATACAGCTCACGTTAAAAGCTACCGCGAAGTTAAATTAGTTTCCTAACGAGTTACTAAAAAATGCCGCGTAGCACTCGTAACGCCCGGCGCTACAGGAGTATTTACACGTGTAAACGGTTCCGCGGCATTATACAAAATAGTCGCCGCGATGCGCCGAGTCGCAACGAGATTCTTCATTGTAGAATTTTTAATGCGAAACTTCATACACGTCGGGTTAATTCGGGCCGTAATAGCAAGGGCGGCGGTGGAATAGAGAATTTCGTCCAATCAGTAAATTGTGTCGGCGGCAAATGAAAGGGTGATGCTCGAATAAAGACCGTCGCGATTCGTTCCTGGACTCGGGCGCGCGGACGCGCACGCTGATGATGTTAGCGTTGTCCACGAATAAACTCGAGAGAAAGAGAGAGACAGAAACGCAAATAACAAAGCGCATCCAAATGAAATATTCTTACCACGGGCAGTATATCGCAACGGCCGTGACAAAGGTGGACGGCGAAAAAATTAATCTGCAATTGTTAGGGAAGAGAGTGCGCCGCCACGGCAAATTTTCAGGAACGACGGAAAGGAGTGATTTACGCGTTCGATTTCGCAACAAAAGTACCGGGCGTGTATCTCCACGGAGCAGCAGCGCAGCGTAATAATTTATTCAATTCTGGGAGTAATTCTCCAAGAGAACATAGGCGCGCGCGATATATTCTCAAAATTTCTTCGAGCGCAATCTCACTCAAAGTGGACGAAAATTCGCCTGGATCGATAGCGC